ATTTTGGTTAGATTTGAATAATTTTGAGTTAGGGTTCGAGTTTGAACAGTTATTGTTGGAATTGAATGAAATTTGGGGGTTTTCAGTTATTGGACTTGTTTAATTGATTAGAAACTGATTTTGATGGATTCTGGAGAATATATATTGAAATTGAACTTGAATTGCAGGTTTGACATTTTTCCTATTTATGCCGGCATGCTGCCGAAATTTCTTTAGAAACTTGTTTTTAAAACTGAAATTAAATAGGAAAACCAAACCTATAGATTGGATTCTAATTTTTAAAGAACCCCCAAACTGAATTGTAAAATCATTGTGAAACTTGGATTTGAGTCAAGGCACACTAATAGGAAACAATTAAACATGATTGAACTTAATTCGTTTTAGGAATGAGAAATACTTACTAAGATATTGCTTTTGTGATAAAACTAGTGGAGAAGGTCAAGTATTAAGGCTTTAAGGAAAGCAGAGGCTAGGAGAACTGAAGGCTAGCCCAGGTTTGACATCCGAGAGGTAGGATATTCTTGTTCATATCCTTGTTAGCCTCATTTAAAATGATTTTGGCCATAAAAATATTTTAGAACAAAACATGTTTAAAGAAAATGATTTTAAAGAAATAGCATGAGAATGCTATTAAGTTTTCCAATGATTTTGGAAATGAGATTTTAAAGAGTATCATTTCTTAAAATGAAATATTTTAAAGAATGATACAATGCATGGTGGCCTCAGAGATCGAGATGTTGGGATCACATCCTTGGGGGTAGGTCCCGAAACCCGTACGGATCCACTTCTTGTTTAGTGGAACTATGGCTCTGCACTTTTTACTAGACAGACATTTTGCCGCTTCTTGTTTAGTGGTATGATGAGCTGCACACTTTTATTTTATAGACATATTATATTATGTGAGTATTTCTTTTTTTTTCTAAAAAAGATGATCGGTTCCGGGTGTATATCTTCGGACCATGAGTACATTTATTTTAAATGCTTTATAAAATCATATTCTACTGGGCTTTTCGCTCACCTTTCTTGTTTTCAAATGTATTAAACCCCTCCAGGCGACGCGAGGAGTAGGTAGCTAGTACCAGTGACGTGGACTTGATCTCGGGAAGCGAAGAGTTGTATTTCCTCTTATCTTTTATCTCAAGGCATGTATAAGAGATTATGGATTGTAAACTTAAATACTGCTAGACTGTGGTTGATGTCACATTTACTTATGTTTATATTCATGTATGCTAAACACCTGTGGAAATTCCTGACATGATACCAGAGACGTGGTTTTAAACTGGTTGGTTGGAAATTCCACCACCGTTCTTGAAATTAAATTTCTCTTGAATGCAGGGATTTGTTTAGAAATACCTGGATGTTTTGGATTTGAAAAAAAAAATAAAATGTTTGCAACATTACTTGCTAATTACTCTCTTAAACAGGTTTAAGTTTCTAAACAAGTCTGCACGTCGCTAACTCCGGTTTGGGGCGTGACAGTGCTTTTACGTTGAAAGCTAGACATAGAGCTCACCGTTTGCATCACAGTTGTTAAATCTTTCCTCCGTTATTTCCTTCATTCTCTTGAAAAACACACACACACACACACACAGATATATATATATATATATATATATTTGTGGCAGGAAGAAGTAAACTAAAGGGAAAATTAGGTAAATGACGCTTTCTTAGCCTCCGGTCCCGTTCATTTCGCCGATTCGAATTTTGCTATAGTAAAAAGTTCTAAAAAACAGTCACATCTAACTTTTTTACTACAGTAAAAAGTTCTCAAATAAAATCACATCTGAACTCGAATTACAAACTCGAATCAGCAAAGTGAACGGACCCGACAAATAACCCAACTTTTTTTTTCCTTAGAGAAGTAATGGTCAACTAGTGATGAAATCATTCAGAATTAATTTACTAATAGTTTATCACTGATGAATCAGTAATATTTTAACTGATATTAATAAATCATTAACTGATATTGATTAATCAATAATAAATCACTTAAAAAAGCTAAATAACCGTCATTTACTCTTAAATCGCTAGACTAAAATCTAATGAAGCAATGTATGAAGGTATAATCTGGACATGAATTTCAGCATTTTATTTAGGCAATAAACAAATTCAAAAGAAATTTGCAAAATAAATTACTTTTCAACAAAAAAAATGGAAGAGATTCACTCACCTGTGCAAAAATTACGACATTCGGCCATCGGAGCTCCGTAGGGAAATGAGGAATTACCAGTTATTTATGCGGTCGGAGTTTGGTGGCAGTTCCTAATCGCAAACTTACACGAGTTAGCCCTAGCTTTGAGAGAAACCTTCACTATGAACTGTCTTACAGAGTTATGTTCAGCCTCAGGTGATCAAATTTTAGCATCTTTCTGGGGGCAATATGCTAGAATGATTTTTCAACAAAGTGAAATTAACAAAATGACACTCTTTTATTTTTTATGAAAAAAGATATTTACTTATTCTTTGTAAAATGAGGTCATTTTGTAAATAAAAATTTTTAAAAAGTTATTTTACTAATAAAACTTTTCAAAAGAGTTATTTTTATAAAGGCCTCTGTTTCTAACGAGAGGAAAAAAGAAACGAAAAGAAGAAGAAGAAAAAAAAAAAAAAAAACTCGGGGTTCACGTGCGACTGACGAGGGAGGTCAATGTGTGTGTGTGTGTGTGTGTGAAGATAATGTCTTACCGAGTATGCAACAGTGAGAAGCCTAATATTCCAACCTAGCTTCCATTGGCTCCAGTCTCTCACGGTGCAGAGGGCGAAAATTAGTGTCTGGATGGTTGCCATAATCGACATAAGTGCTGTGCTTGAATAATAGCAGGGATATTTCTCACTCATTTTAGCCTGCAGTTTATGAGCCAGAAAATTTCAGGAAAAAAACAATCCCCAATTAAATGGACAATTGTACTTTAACGCTTCTTGAGTAATATAGTTAGAAGACTCGTATATTTACATTTTTTTTCTTATGTTTTAGCAAGTTAAAAAAGTCAGATGATTTGTATATTCTTTTTTTTTAATAAGAAGAAAATGAGCAAAGAAAGACACAAAAATGACCTGAATGATGAACCAGACAGAAAAACAAGCAGAACTGGCGACGGCCAATAGACAGCCCAAGACATGATTTCCAGACCCAGCTGCTGCATCATGCGACGATGCCATGTTGTTATGTTGATGATCCCGATGCAAAAGGTCGACGTGCGTTGACCAAATGTTAATATCTACTCCTTTGTAGAAGGTTAGAATCAGTGCTCCACCGACTCCCAGTAGTGAACCCAAAACCTTAGCCTTCCCTCCCGGGGTTCCAAAATTCAGCTTCTCTAACCTAATATGCATTTAAGATTCAAGAATTGAATTTATTATACAACACCAATTATGTGGCAATTACTACATGGTATTTTAGAATTGATCGTACACATTTGCTTTAATCACGAATAAAATTTTTTATTAACTTATTACAGGTGGTATTTACTATAATTCTAGAGGATCAAACAAAGAAAGAAAGACACCGGATGTCTTGTCAGATGTATATATGGATATATATATATATATATATATATATGTATATGTTGGATCAGATAGTCTATTAGTTGTAATGATACTTTTTTTCGTTTAAAAGAAAAAATAAAGAAGAAAATAACAATAGTTATTTGTTTTAAGCTTTTTTATCAGTAGTCATGCCAATGATTACATATCAAATGAAATAAATGGTCACCTGAATATGACGGCTAAGAAGAATGTTATAGCAGGAATCAGGTTGGTCATGGCCGAAGCTAATGTTGCCGATGTTAAAACTAAGCTTTCGAGATATAAATTTTGTGGCAGTGATGCCCTGCAGCAATCATTCAAATAACACAGGTTATTTATGTCGTACAATATAATTACTTTGCTTTTGTCCATTTCTTAACTTATTTTGGACGGATACGTTTCTATTTATTTAAAAAAAAAAAAAAACTAGAGAAGTATTGTTTTCATCATGCTTTTTTGATAAGATTCGAAAGTTGCATATATATAGAACGAGTGAGTTTAACATATATTACAAATTCAAAATTTTAAAAATAATTATCACTTTATTTTGCTATTGCTAAAACAATTTAAGAAATTGTTAAGTTCAGTTCCACTATTATAAAGATGTTATGTAGTGTAATCAATACTTATTAATGCAAAGAAGATTAAACTATTTTGACCTTGTATATCCTATATGACCAAGTAAATATGATTATTTTTCGATGCAAAAAGTATGCATATGTAATTTTTTTTTCCCCATAAAAGGTGCATGTAGCCAAGCAGTCTGGATTGCGCCTTTTAAGTATAATGCAAAAACCCGTCTACATTCACAGCGAATAATATTATTAGCTACAACTAATTGCACTTTTTTATTTCTTATTTACGTAATATTACTTCACATTCTGACTACAAACATGACCTAGCGGTAATTTTACGTGAAGAGTTGGAATCCGCTAAATTAAATATACATATATATATATATTACTTCACATTATTTAGAAGAAAAATAGAATTGCATAACGTAAGGCCCGTTCAGTTCGTTGATTTAAGTTTTTAATTCGAGTTGAGATTTAATTTTATGTGAGAGTAACGTTAAATATGACTGTTTTTTAAAACTTTTTATTATAGTAAAACTTAAATTATAAACTCGAATCTGTGAAATAAATAAGCGAATAACCTACGTGTTTTGCATATCTTTTTCGCAGTGGGTGGGTGTTATTTGGTCAACATGATCCACTCCTCGCTGCTTTTGTCTTTGCTTAAAGTTACCAAAGACTCACGTAAAAAGTTGTGTGCTAGCGCATTAATTATTGAGATTGCTCTTTGATGATATGCGTTGCCTATTTGGCAACTATTTTGCTTCTAACTGAAAATCACCACCACTTTAAAATTTTAAAAACGCAATATTACTAATATCTTTTTTATACATATTTCAAATAGCGACGCTACGAAACTTGATGATTTTTTTTTCTTTTTTTTTCCTGAAGTGATAGTAGTGAATTTTTCTCTATATAGTATATATACACTCTCGATAATAAATGTTTAAAGAGAAATAGAAAGATGATATATGATATCATACTTACCCGAATAACCCACATAAAAATGCCTGAAAAAGAATCGTCCAAGTAAGCTTTCGCCTGCTTTTCCTGTTAAATTTGGCATTTTATAATTAGTTTACACAATTATTCACCGAATTGTGCATTATATGTACATTTAAGAAAATGTACTATCATCGAATTTATAATTTTCTCCCATTTACCTTTAACTGCGCGATTTCTAGAATTTCTAGAGAACACTAGCAGAATAACATTTTGTTTTGCTTTTTGAAAGCTCTTTTTTTTTTCTTTTATTTTTTTTTTTTGCCTCATGAAAGAATTACATAAAACCAGGATTTTCAAATTTCCTCTTTTACCTTTTAGAGAAAAATTTCATGGCAACATTAATGTTCCCATTTTTTCCGCTTATGTTTTACAAGGCTTTTTTCATTCGAAAAACTTAAAAAAGGAAAATCCTGAACTTTCTTTCTGGAAAAGGGGGGAAGAAAGGGAAAAAAAAAAAGCTCTTTAATATCTGAAAAACATGAACTTATTACTATTTCTTGGAAAATGATGAAAAAAAAAAAACAAAAGCATAAGAAAAGGTAATTACTTTCTCCCCATTTTACTTGACGTCTATAAAAATTCTGCTATAGCACAACTCCACCAGATCGATCGAAAGGGAATTTAAAAAAAATGAAAACAAAGATTAATTCGACAATATTACCTTTCAATGAAAAGGGCAAGGGGAAGAATGAAAGCAGTAGCGAAAACTAAGCGGTAAGCAACAATGACCTTCAAATTCATACCATCATTAGCGGCCAGTTTGTACAACACATTCACGCCGGTAAATACAAACTGAACGACTACCATTAACAGAGCCGGCTTAAGTCCATGCAAAGCCTCACGAATCTGCTGATTCCCCATATATATATATATATATATGTATATATATATATATGTGTGTATGTATGTATATGGACTTCCGAGAGAGGTAAGAGAGATAGAAATATTGGCTTTGTGAATATGAAATGAATATACTGGGAATACGGCACGTTCTGGTAGCTAGCTAGTGAAGGGGCTAGCTATTTATAATTTAGAAGGGTTCTAGAAGTATGTGTTAGGAAACGTGGGTTTTTTATATTGTGGGCCACATATTTATTTAATAATTATATTAAGTTATTTAATTAATTAGACTAATTAAGTGATCTAATTATGGAAAGCCCAAATAGTCTCTTAACAGAGTATGGACTGAATTAGTGGATACCTTGTCACGACCCCAAGGATAGGGCCGTGATTATTGAGGTTTTATTTAAAATTTAACTTAATTGAACTAGACTGTTTAATAAAAATCACAAAAAAAGAAATACATAAAAATCAATATAGTTTGCTCCGGAGACTTTCTTTCACAAATAATATTTAAAACAATCCATAAAGTTCAAGAAAAATAGTACAACTCTGGGACAATGTCGACCAATACAGTTTACATACAGAAATACAGTACATCTCAGAATTTAAAACTGTAAATCTGAAACAAACGTACTGCTTCGAATCTCACGCCTTCAATCCATTGGCATCCACTTGTCACACTATAAATCTAAACCGCTAACTCTGGAGAAGAGGTTTAAAACATTGAAAACATAGAAAAGTGAGCGGGAGGCCCAATAGGACATAATCTTATAAAACATAATAAATAAGGTACTCACGGTCTGTAGACATGCACCTGGAACCGATCATCCTTTTTTTTGAAAAGAAAATACTCACATCGTAGTAGAAAATATATGTAATATGAAAGTGTGCAGATTATCATATCACTGAGCAAGGAGTAGTAAAATGTCTGTCTAGTGAAAAAGTGCAGAGCCATAATTCCACTAAGCAAGAAGTGGATTCGTACGGGTTTCAGGACCTGCCCCCAAGGATACGATTCCCATATTCCGATCTCCGATTTAAGAAATGATACTCTTTAAAATCTCATTTCCAAAATCATTGGAAAACTTAATAGCATTATTTATGCTATTTCCTTTAAAATCATTTTCTTTCAACATGTTTTGTTCTAAAACATTTTCATTGGCCAAAATCATTTAAAGTGAGGCTAACAAGGATATGGACAAGAATATCCTACCTTTTTGGATGTCAAACATGTGGCTATCTTCACGTAACCCTAGCCCCGCTTGCCTTAAAGCTTTAATACTCGATCTTCTCTACTAGCTTTATGACAAAAGCAGTGTCTTAGGATATATTTATCATTCTTAAAACGAATTGAGCTCACTCATGTTTAATTATTTCCTATTAGTGTGCATTGACTCAAATCCAAGTTTCACAAATGAGTTTATAATCAGTTTGAGGGTTCTAAAAGGATTGAAATCCAATTCATGGGTTTAGTTTCCTATTTAATTTTAGCTTAAAAACAAGTTTTTTTAAAGAAGTTTCGGCAGCATGCCGGCATAAATAGGAAAAATGCCAAACCTGCAAGTCAAGTTCAATTTCAAAATAAATTCTCCAGAATCCATCAAAACTAATTTCTAATCAATTCAACAAGTCCAATAACAAAAAACCCCCAAATTTCATTAAATTTTAACAACAATTTTTCAAATCCAAACCCTAACTCAAAATTATTCAAATCTAACCAAAATTAAACTTTCTCAAGCTTAAGATTTGAACCAAAGAGTGGGTTTCAAGGGAGTTTACCTCAAATTAGTTGATGGAGCTTTGTTTCCCTCGGTTTCTCTCGTTTTCATTTTTTTTTTTTTGTCTCTCGGCCAACCTGCCGAGAGAGAGAGGGAGAAAGAGAAACTCAAAGAAAGCAAGGGAGAGAGGGAGAGACCGAAGAGAGAGGTGGCCGGAGAGAGGGAAGGAGTGGTGACTGGCGATGAAGGAAGAAAGAGAGAGATGGAGTTACCGTGGAAGAAGAAAGAAGAAAAGGAGAGAGAGAGAAAGAGAGGGGGGGCTGGTCTGGCAGCCACAGGAAGGGAAGGGAAAAAAAAGAAAACAAAAGAAAGAAAACAAAAAGGAAAAGAAAGAAAAAAGGAAAAGAAAAGAAAATTAAAAGAAAATACATTAAAATTAAGTGTATTTTCAAAAAAAAATTGGGGTGAAAATTGAAAAACTGAAAGTAATTTATAAGTCCTTAAAATAACTCAAAAACTTCATCTTTAATCACAAGATTAATTAGCAAAATCAGTTTTAGGCACACTAATATACACAATTAACATAATTAAACATGTTTAATTCTGGAGGGCGTTACATACCCATATTGACCTAATTAGGTTTAATGGGAGCCTAATAGGGCAGTATATAAAGAAACTTAGATTATGGTCCCTAATACGTCAAATCATTCAGCAGTTTTCATTCTTCCCCATCTAGAGAGAAAACACTCTATTAAGGAACTAGGGAGATTTGACTGAGGAAGGCAATAACCGTCGTGCTCATAATCTAAGAGAATATTACTAGAGATTCAAGGCTGCATCAATGGAGACAGGTATTTGTTCTAACTTATTTTCTTAGTAATTTGGTGTGATGATTCCTGAAGCGTGGAATAAGGATTTAAAGATCTAACAAGTGGTATTAGAGTGGTCATCACATTAATTATTGAGAGAATTTTCATTTCCAATATCTCTGGTTGAATAATTATGTGAATTTTTTGGTGATTGATTTTAATCAAATTTGTTGAATAAATTCAGAATTATTTATTATTCACAAAATTGATATTCTGAAAAATGAGGATTAAGGAAATTTGGTGAAAGAATTAATTAAAAGAAAGTTTTTTTCCTTCGTTGTCTTCTCTTTTCGGAGAAGGATTATGGCCAGCGGCTGTCTTGGCCGCCGGTGCTACAGAATCAAGGGCGCGGCGGTTGGGCCGCGTCGACGGGGCAGTCACGGCCTGTGGCCTGCGGCGGGATGCAATACAGCGGTGGCCAAGGCCACCGCATAAGAAGACGTTATAAAAAAAAATTGTTGCCGGCGGCAAGCTTGCCGCCGCCGATGTCTGGATTCCCGGGCGCAGCCGTTGGGCTGCACCGGACAGTTATTGCTGCGGTCGGTCGGCCACAACATTGAGGACTGGTGGTCTAGCGGCCGCCAGTGGAGTAGAAGGGTCACATATGCGACCCTAAGGTTTCCCTTAATAATGGGCTTTGGCCCATAAAAAAAAAAGGGGACACTGGCCACTTCAGGACTATGACATAAAAGAGAAGCACAGGCCCAAGGGCCTGTGCATTAGAACTAAGGGTCGCAGGTTATTACCTGAGGCCATGCGGCCATAAGGAAAGTGATTGCTAATTTTTGGCAATTTGTAGGTTTATTTTAAACCTAATTTTAGAGATTTTGAGCATTTGGACAAATTATTACCCACAAAGAAAGTAAGTGTAAATTAATTAAAGATTTAATTAAATAAAATGAAACTCTGGTTCTTTATTTTTATTTTATTTGATTATTATTGCACTTAATTGTCTTGTATTTTGAAATAAATTGATTAAAATAATATTGTTGCCAAAGTAACCTCTGTTGTGGATGTTGATTTATTTTAAAATATAAAGATGAGTATACCTGTTATTTATGTGAATAATGATCGGCCCAAATGAAGGTTATTATTTGGCTAAATAATAGGTATACATGTGGTAATAAATATGTGACAATTATAAAGCTCTCCATGTAAGCAATAGCTGGCCCAAAGGAAGGCTATTGTTTGACATGATTTATTGTCAATATTTGATTACTGCGCAGAGAGTACCACATACAAGTTGATATTTCTGCTCCAAAGACTAAATATCAGTGTTGTGCTAGGTATCTTGAAATGGACCCACCTTGCTTCGAGTTATTTATTTATGTCATGTATGCATTATATGGTTTGATTATGCTTATGTATGACATGAATGTTGATTATGAGTATATTTTATTTTTTAGAAAGAGAACATGGAAATTGTTCACGGATGTATGGACTTAGACCTTGCGCTCAGGACAGAGCGTCCCACTGCTACTACGGAAAATCTGAACATGGATAAAATTGAGAAGTGGGACTACTCTAACCGCATGAGTCTAATGATCATGAAACGCTCCATTCCGGAGGCGTTTCGGGGCTCTATTTCTGAAAGCACTAATGCCAAGAAGTTTCTCAAAGAACTTGAGCAATATTTTGCCAAGAATGAAAAGTCAGAAACGAGTAACCTTCTGAATAAACTCATTTCCATGAGGTTTAAGGCAAAGGGGAACATACGGGAGTACATTATGGAAATGTCTAACATTGCTGGGAAACTAAAGGCACTAAAGTTAGAGCTGTCTGAGGATTTGCTCGTGCATTTAGTTCTCATATCTCTTCCTGCACAATATAGTCAATTTAAGGTGGGCTATAACATCCAAAAGGAAAAATAGACTGTTAATGAGCTCATATCATATTGTGTGCAAGAAGAGGAAATGCTTCAGTGAGATAAGACTGAAAGTGCTCACTTGGCATCACCCTCTCAGAATAAGAACAAAAATAGAGCTATGGATACTGCAGATGGAACACCACAGCAGAAGAAGAAACTAAAGAAGCAGGATAAGGCATTCACCTGCTACTTTTGCAAGAAGGAAGGACACGTGAAGACAGAGTGTTCCACATACGCCGCTTGGCGTGTAAAGAATGGTAAGCTTCTCGCTTTAGTTTGTTCTGAAGTTAATTTAGATTCTATACCTAAGGATACTTGGTGGGTAGATTCTGGTGCTACTACTCACATAAGTATGTCTATGCAGGGTTGCCTGTGGAGCCGACCACCAAATGTTGCTGAAAGATTTATCTTCGTGGGTGATGGCAAGAAAGTTCTAGTTGAAGCTATCAGAACATTTAGATTATTATTAAAGATTGGCGTCTATTTGGATTTGATTGAGACTTTTGTTGCACCGTCATTTAGATGGAATTTAATTTCTATTTCTAGTTTGGACAAATCCGGTTATTCTTGTTCCTTCATAAATAACAAAGTTAGTCTTTCTCATCATTCAAATGTTGTTGGTACGGGTTCCTTAATTGATAATCTTTATATGCTTGATACTGTTACTTCTGATAATGAAATTTTTCACACTAGTGCACGAGGTACAAAGCAAAAATTAAATGAGAATTCTGCCACCCTATGGCATAATCGTTTAGGTCATATCTCTAAACAGAGCATTTAGAGGCTTGAGAGTGATGGAATTCTTGGTCCCCTAGATTTGACAGACTTTCAAGTCTGTGTTGAGTGCATCAAGGGGAAACAGACAAACACAAAGAAATTAAGTGCCGACAGGGCTACAGACGTCTTAGAACTTATTCATACAGATATATGTAAACCATTCCCTACAGCTTCATGGAATGATCAACAATACTTCATTACGTTCATAGACGATTATTCAAGATACGGTTACCTATACTTAATACATGAGAAGTCACAGTCAGTGGACGTTTTTAAGAAATTTAAAGCCGAAGTTGAACTTCAACTAGGCAAGAAAATTAAGGCTGTCAAATCAGATCGTGGTGGTGAATACTACTGCAGATATGACGGATCAGGTGAACAATGTCTAGGACTATTCGCCATCTTCCTGAAAGAATGTGGAATCGTCCCGTAATACATAATGCTAGGCAGACCTAGCATGAATGGTGTTGCTAAAAGATGAAACAGAACTCTTAAAGACATGGTGAGAAGCATGATTAGTCATTCTTCCTTACCTGAATCACTTTAGGGAGAAGCACTAAAGACTGTTGTTTATATCCTTAATAGGGTTCTAAGCAAAGCAGTGGCCAAAACCCCCTATGAACTATGGACTACAAAGAAGCCTAGCATTAGGCATTTACATGTTTGGGGTTGTCTAGCTGAGGTAAGGCCTTATAGGCCAAAGGAACAAAAACTAGACTCAAGAACGGTCAGCTGCTACTTTGTTAGATACGCCGAACACTCTTAGGGCTTCAAGTTTTACAATCCCACTACTAGGTCCTTCTTTGAGACGGAAAATATGAGATTCCTTGAGGATGTCAAGTTTGAGGGAGAAGATAAAGTAAGGAGTGTTGTCGTTGAGGAATAAGATTTCGTTTCTCTTCCCAATATTGCTATTGTCAATGACCATGATATAATACCTGCCATTGTTCAAGACGCAACTTCGGAACAAGACAACAATGAGGTTCTCTATGCAGTACCTATAGAGCAAACTCAACAACCTCAAGAAGTGTCATTAAGGAGATCCACTAGAGAAAGGAGAAGTGCGATTCCGGATGATTATATCGTCTTTCTCCAAGAACATGAAGATGGTGTGGGCTTAGGGGAAGATGATCCGATCAACTTTCAACAAGCCTTATAGAGTTCTAATGCTCAAAAGTGGATTGATGCCATGAATGATGAGATGAAATCTATGAAAGACAATGACGTTTGGGATCTTGTCGAGTTACCTACAGGAACGAAACCCATAAGTTGTAAATGGCTATTCAAGACCAAAAGGGATTCAAAAGGTAACATCAAAAGACATAAGGCTCGTCTAGTCGCTAAAGGATTCACTCAAAAGGAAGGCATAGACTATAAGAGACTTTCTCTCTAGTTTCTTCGAAAGACTCTTTTAGAACGATTATGGCACTAGTAGCTCATTTTGACTTAGAGCTACACCAGATGGATGTTAAGACAGTATTTCTCAATGGCAACATTGATGAGACGATTTATATGGTCCAGCCAGAAAACTTTGTATCTAGAGATTCAAAGTCTATGGTCTGCAAGTTAAAGAAGTCCATATATGGTCTCAAACAGGCTTCCCGTCAATGGTATCACAAATTTCATCAAGTCATCAATTCCTATGGTTTTGAGGTGAATGTGGTAGATGATTGTGTATATCATAAGTTCAGTAGGAGTAAATTCATCTTCTTGATTTTGTATGTCGATGACATATTACTTGCCAGCAGCGATATAGACTTATTACATGAAACCAAGAAATTTCTTACTAAGAATTTTGAGATGAAAGATCTTGGTGACGCCTTTTTTGTATTAGGAATTCAGATACTATGAGATCGCTCTTAAGGTATCCTTGGGTTATCACAAAAGGGTTATATTGAAAAGGTTCTAGATAGATTTGGCATGAAGAATTGTTCATCAAGAGATACGCCCGTAGCTAAGGGAGACAAGTTTAGTCTCAGTCAGTGCCCCAAGAATGAACTTGAGATAAAGGAAATGGAAAAGATTCATTATGCATCAGCAATAGGAAGTCTAATGTATGCTCAAGTTTGCACTCGTCCCGACATAGCATTTATAGTGGGAGTATTGGGCAGATTCTTAAGTAACCCAGGAGTGGATCATTGGAAATCAGCCAAACAGGTTATGCGCTATTTAAAGAGAACAAAGGATTACATGCTCACTTATTGGAGATCAGACAGACTAGAGATCATCGGGTATTCTGGTTCTAATTTTGCTGGATGCCAAGACAGTAAACGATCCACATCAAGCTATGTTTACATGTTGGCAGGAGGGGCTATTTCTTGGGAGAGTGCCAAGCAGACTCTCACAGCTTCTTCTACCATGGCTGCAGAATTCATAGCTTGTTATGAGGCATCTAATCATGGGATATGGTTGCAAAATCTTGTCACGGGGATGCATGTGATTAACGGTATTGAAAGACCGCTAAAGATTTTTTGTGACAATAAACGGCAGTGATATATTCTAATAACAACAGAAGCTCTACGAAATCGAAGCATATAGACATCAAGTTTCTTGTTGTTAAAGAAAGAGTTCAAAGTGGTCAAATTTGGATAGAACACATCGGGACAAACTCCATGCTTGCGGATCCGCTAACCAAGGGCTTAACACCCAAGGCCTTTCACGAGCACACTGCTCATATGAGTGTTATTTTATTTGAGGATACTATGGTTTAGTGGGAGTTGATTTTAATTTTGGATTTTTTATGACATAAACATTTATTTGTTTATTTTCTGCAGAATAAAGAAGATGGATTTATAGTTTTATAATTTTTCCTCTAAATGTGTTAATTTTCTGTTTGCAATCTTGCATTATGTTTTGAAAATTACAAATTGATCTCATAAAGAATAAAGTAAGACCAGTTGAAAATAGGCATGTTGGAGATCACATTGCATGTATTTCCATGCTACTCATCCATACTCGATCTATGTCATTGAATATGTTGGTATGGTGACCATGGGAATTTAGTTGCATTTGAGGGTGACAAAAGCCGCCATGATCTCATGCTAATATAGGAAATGTACCAGATTGTATCTTAAGTGGAGACTAAGGATAAATAGCATATAGTTGCGCGCCTAAAGAATTATGTACGATATAATTATTTCAGAAATCATGTGTAGCCCAAGTGGGAGATTGTTAGGAAAGATGGGTTTCCTATATTGTGGGCCACATATTTATTCAATAATTATAAGCTATTTAATTAATTAGGCTAATTAAATGATCTAATTATGGAAAGTCCAAATAGTCTCCTAACAGGGTATGGGCTGAATGGGTGGATATCCACATTGATCCAATTAGGTTTAATGGGAGCCTAATTGAGCATAATATAAAGAAACTTAGGTTATGGTCTCTAATACGTCAAATCATTCGGCAGTTTTCATTCTTCCCCATCTAGAGAGAAAACACTCCATTAAGGAACTAAGGAGATTTGACTGAGGAAGACAATAACCGTCGTGCTCATAATCTCAGAGAATACTACTGGAGATTCAATGCTGCATCAATAGAGACATGTATTTGTTCTAATTTATTTTTTTAGTAATTTGGTATGATGACTCTTGGAGTGTGGAATAAGGATTTAAAGATCCAACAATATGATGAAAAGACATAGCTTTTTTTTCTTTCTAGTGTAGTGTGAGGTTTAGGATTCTCACTTTACTAATAAAGATGAAATGATAAGGAGTAAAGGAATGACATTATAAGGATTCGAATATCTAGTGACGCACCTAACCACTCGAGTTAATCGTAATTAGAAATTATTAATTTTTGACAAATGATGTGGCGTCATCTTTCCGAAAAAGAAAAATGATGCCGCACCGGGCTAATTAAAGTTGCCCATAATTAAAAATTAAACCTGTTTGGTGTCTTTTTTTTTTTTTTGAAGGGACTATTTTTATGTCATTTGAAAGCTTGCCATTTAATCAGAAATAGAAATTAATTGGCCCTATTAATGTATGTCCTTTTATATACCTCTTCCATAAATATATATATTACGTTATTTCATCATAAGTATTTCCAGTCTTTATATTTTTCACACTCTAGAATATATATGGTAAAAATTAATCTTGCTGTATTGTTCGGTATTTTAAATGCTACATGGCGATTGTTTACGTCATTGTCTACACATTGAATAAGGTTTTTAGGGAAATTAAACCTTTTGTTGTCACCAATATTTAATCACACATATAACAGTGG